GTAATATCTTTACTGATATTAAGATTCAACAGGCTCCATATTTCATTTCGCCACTTCGTAATGGTGACCGATTTGTTGTTTATTGCATGTTGGAAAAAAGCATAGAACCATGTAAAGTTATCACTTTAAATGGCTCTATGAAACTTGATATTTCTTTGGATCCTGCTACTTTACAAGGTTCGAAGATTCATAAATTAGCGGCAAGGAAACTTATTCAAGATCTCGAGAATGGAGAGTCATTTCTTCATAGGCATCCTAAAAATGTTGGTAAACATATTATAAATTCATTAACTAAAGAATATATTGTTAATCTTGTTAGGACTTTTAACTTAGTTTCAAAGCATACTGGGTAATAATTATTTATATTTTTGGTAAAACACGAGTAACTTTCTTTTATTGCTTGTAATAATTAATATTTTCGTTTTATAGCTTTATCGCAATTGACAATAAAGTTTTATCCGGAACTCAAATAATTTCACAAAAAAGAGAAGTTACTCACTCATCCGTAAATTCAGGTACGAAATAAAAATAAAAATTTAAAAGAAAAAAAATTAATATGCTTAATCATAACTTATTTATATATTTATAAAGAATCGAAAATCGAAGACTTATTTGAATTTTTGGGATTGCAATCATTTGATGGTTTATTCTTACCAACTAAATCATTTTATGATTTTTTTATTAAAAAGAAATTAAATGATTTCGCTAAATTAAAGCGAGAAATTGAAAAGGAAATCGGGGAGGTTAAAGAAATTGAAGAAATATTAAATACTAGCATTGCTATAGCTTATCTGGAAGTTGCCATGTTTGAAAATTTTAAGGATGAGTGTAAGATGTGTCATGAAAAAGCTGTAAATGCTTTGAAGAAAATTGTGGGAGAAGAGAAAGAAAAAATTATCCTTGGGAAAGCCAAAGAGTGGATTAAATTTCGGTTAAATGACGGTGTTGGATGGGTGTGTCGTATAACTAGGTTTATGCCCGTGGCTATCTGCGGCTTATTTATCATTGGCCTTCTTCTCAGGCGAGGCGTTAAACAAGCAACATTCATTACAAGTTTGAAAAATCCCGGAAGAGGCTAAAAAATAAATTGAATGCGATTTTATAAGCTACTATAGACATCATAAATATTCTCCAGATAATTACAGACATCAAAATGAATGTTCAAACCTATGCTTTATTAATATTTTATGAGCTATACCATTTTTTATTTTTTATTTTTCATACCTTAAAGATTGTTGTATTTATCAAAATTTTTATTATGTAAATAAACATAAAGAATTTTTATATGTGTTTTAATGTATATATTCATTTTTTATTTTATTATGTGTTTGGCTTTTAAATCTGAGTTTATGTATATAAATTTTTTATGCAAATTCTTCCGCTATCAAACAAAAAAATGTTACAAATGATGAATTGTATCGATTCAATTAAAAACTTTTTGTCATGAAATTATTAAGCATAGCAAAATATTTTGTAAGATTATGCCATTTAAAAAAAAATTACTCTGAAATATTGTTACACAATTCGTAAAAAATGATTTTCTATTTTATCAAATTTAAATATTTTAATTGATTATATTTTTCTTAAAATTAAAAAATTTTAGAAGGGTCTGAAATTTTTAAAGAGCGCCTTATCATTTTAAATTAAAATATTGTGTTGATATGATTTTAGATTTTAACTGGGTAAGAGATCTTTAGAGCTCATATTAAATTTAAATGGCCATTGATATATAAGATTAGGAACGATTGTATTTTTTCTTTAATTTCATATATAAATGCAAGAACTAAGTCATCGATATTTAATAATGACTGCATTAATCTCTCATAGTATCAATATACTATTTACCAATAAATTAAATAAACCGAAAACTGTAATTTTTGTTACATCTAAGATTCTCTGAACATTAAATAAAATGGCCACATTTAACGGATGATAAATATATTTGATTCTATAAAATTTTTTCTTTTTTTTTTTTTTAACGATGTGGTACTGTTATAAAGATTACAAATAAAATAAGAGTAAAAACAATGAAAATAAAACTATGACTACCTCCCGTAGCTATATTACAAACTCGTTTAGATTGACTAACCACCGGAATTTCCCTCCAAAAAAAAACCAATTGATTCTATAAATTAGGTTAGCTAGGTTAAATGTGCAAATTCGACGAACTGTGAATATTTTCGCGTTCAAAATATTTGAAACAAAAATTATCCATTAACAAATTTATAATTAAGTCTTTGTATCTGGTTTATTTGTTTCTGCTTCGTTCTGGTCTTAGAAGATAAATAGTAAAATATGTACATAGTTTATATTTTGTTTTATACATGGGTTTAAAATAAATTGAAATTGCAAATATTATCGCTACATATATTTTAATATGTATTTTTTTTTTGATTTAAAAGTTTAAAATTTGACAAATTCAATGCCAAGAAGTTGTCGAGCCGGTGCTTATAATGTTTTAATTTCTAATATTTAATTTGTTAATTAGAATGCATTGGGGATAATTCATTTTAAAAGCTCTAATTCACCACAATTACTTTGTTTTAATTGGAAGCCATACAGGAACACTTGCCGAGGAATATGTATAAGATGTTGTTTTGTTGTTACACCCATTTTTTTAATAGTTCTTGACTTCTGGGATTTGGTCCTGACGTATTTTGCATAAAAGTATATTCCTTGTTAACCGCGCACATATATCAACACAAGTTAAATGATGCAAAAAAGATACAGTATAATCATTAATGAATCTAAAATTATGTCAAAACATATGTTTTTAATTCGGCAACTTTATGGCAAAAAGGTATTGATGAGAATGTCGAAAACAAAAATAATTTCATGCCCATCGACGTTGGTTTTAATATTAGTATTGGCATTTTTATCAAACGAAATATTTTGAACATGTAGCTCTTTTTTTATTTCATCTAATTGATACTGCTGTAATCGTCAAATCCCGTATTTTATAAATGTATAACATTTTATAAGTTCAAAAGCTTCAACAAGAGCTTTACCTGCTTAATGCATTTCTGCCAAGTGAAGGCATCATTCACTAATAAATTAATAACCGCGACCATAAGCTCAAGTGCACTTTTCGTCATGTCATAAAAAATATTGAATTAAATACTTTTCACTTCTTTATTCCGACGCGTCCCACTGTGCCGTAAGTAAAATTTACTATAGTAGATTGCTTTTAACGATCATTATAATAATAAATTTATCGTTATATCTGGAAGCGGTTTTATTCCGAAAACTATTTATTTTTAAGCATAAATTAACTTTTATAATAGCAATGAGTATTGAATTTATACACAAATTACAGTATTAATGCTATCCACTTGATTTATTATTGTTATTTTCCTTTGCTTTTAACTCTGAACCCGTATTTCAAGTGCTTTTCTTAATTGAATAGCACGGCTTGAAATTCTTCCATTAAAATATCCGAAACTTTACTGAAAATTATCACAAAATAACTTAAAAATAACGTGACAGATTTCTTTTTGAAAAAAGTATTAATTTATTATTTTTGAGACGGGAATGTTACTTGAAAAAGCGTACTGTATGAATGAGACTGTCAAATTTGAATATAAAGCAAGGAGTTCAAAATTATTGAAAAATGAGATACTTCGATTTTATTAAAAATGTTTATGATTTTTTAACTATAGTTGATTACAAAAAAAAAATCATCTTAATAGTATAATTTTACTATTTTGTTAACTATGCAGATAGAACGCCCGCGTACCACACCACACGAACAATTAATTTTAATTATGTATGGAAATCTATCGATCACAAAACTCAGGTTTGTTGAGATAAAAAATAAACTAATACATGTTTTATAAGAGTGGTTGATGTTTACCTATGCTAACAATTTTTAGTTTCGTCTGTCTTGATAGATCAATTCTAAAATTGAGAGTTGCATTAATCTTTTGATTGCATTTTCATAAGATATGTGCTGAGCGAATGCATAATACGTTTTTTTTATTCAACTGATAACATTCTTCCAAGAAATGATGGTCGTGACACTCTTATATTTTATACGTAACTAATAAAATAGATATCTCAAGACGACGAAATTAAGGATTTTAGCAAATGATAAGGTCGTGAAAAGACATTTTCCTCACATCTTGCAAGATAGAATTCTTAACAACAGTTCTTCGATTTTTAATTGCGCATATTTTCTGTATAAGCAAAGCCAAATGTCACTGCGCCAACTAAACGAGTAATGTGATGAGTAGAGTATATCACATGAGTTGATGTTTAGTATATCTTTTGCCCTAACCTACCAGCATTTATATATTCTATTCATCACATACATCGCCGAAATCAGGGTACTACCCAATTAATACATTTGCTGAAGATAAATTATTATAATTTCAAGAAATTCTACATAAAGTAATAAGTAAATATTTCTTTTTCATTGCAAACTGGAAAAATCAATCATATTTAGTTATTCGGCACGGAGTACCTGATATTCATATCGAGATCTATTATGAAATCTATTACTTTTTGATTATTATAAGGCTTATTAAAAATATAATTACCCATATGATGTAGACGATCTTTTTTTTTTATATTTTTGTGATATCACAGAGTTTATATGAAAATTAGCTGCACTAATAATTAAACTATAAATAATACTTTTTTTATACTTACATTATTTTATTATATTGAAAATATAAACAAGTCACTAGAAATTAATAAAGTTTGAATAGTTATGAAATATTGTGCTAACTGTAAAAGTTTTCAAGAAATCCAATCGCTTACTTTTAGTTTAGATTTTAAATTTTTGGTCGTCGAATAATAAGATTTTAGAAGCTTAAAGATAAAATACCTTTATAATTTTTACCCTGGGCTTGTCATTATTTTCTAAGGAGGCTAATTAATAAATATCCAAAAAAAACTTTTCTAGCGAGTAATTTATTATTTTTCTTTTCGCGAAATTATACGAAATTAAAATTATATCAGCTGTAATTTTGAAAATAGTTTCTTAATCCTTGCTGTTAAGTTTGAATATCATTTAGTACATGTAATTGTTGAAAAAAAAGACATCTTTTTTATGTACTTTCATCTATATTTTTCAAAAAAAAAATTAAGAAAAAAAATAATCAAAAATAATTGTAGATACGTTACCATTAAACAGTTGCCATATCTTGAAATATAGTTTTTTAGCATATTATTGATTTTTTATTGAGTAAAGCAATTCGTATATATTAATAAGTTTGATTAAGATTTTCTTCCAGCAGACTTTCAAAATTATAATTCTCCTAAAAATAAAATTTGTGACTCTTAAAAGGTTTTCCATTTTTTTTTTAAAAGAATTTAGTATAAATGACGAGAAAGAGAATGATAATGAACTTCTATTCATAATTTTAAGTCAACATCATAAAACAGACGATAGTATCGTTACGTTATTGTGCTTGCGTTGATAAATAATCAAAATTCATGATGACCAGTGGCTAAATCTAACTGATCGTCATTTTGATATTATTCGTTGCGAGAACGAACTAAATGAAAATGCAATTATGCTCTTTTTAATAAACAATCTTTTATTATTCATGAATTTTATTTATAAAGCTTTGAAATTTTTATAGCGATTATCATTGGTATATTATAATTTTAATAAATTTTATTCTACTATTTAAATTACAGACTAAGTAACTTTTATCTAATCTTAGTGTTCAATTAATTCTTAATAAAAATAATTTATAGTTACTTTAATATAAATAATTTCATTTACAACCTTTGTATAAATTTGTTTTAAATTTATATTAATATATTATTCGTATAAAATCAATTTAACATAATTTTACCTTCAGAAATTTCTAATTCATCTTGATCTTCTGAATGAAGATTTGGATTATTGCATATTTCATCTATAAATTAAATTTATTAAAGCATTTAATTGGTTTAAATAAATTTATTTATTTTTATTTACCTTCATCTACTTGTCTAGTTTGTATATATGGTATTTCAATTTCATTATTTATATGATTAATACAGATTTCTAAATTAAAGTATTATTTAATCTTAAATATTTAAAAGTTTATTTATTCAAATAAATACCTTTATCATCAATTAGTTTTGTTTTCTTAGATTTATCGTTTTCTATTAATAATTTATTGTGATAAGTATAAACTGCTAATAATAATAATAATAAATGAAAAAGCTATTACCATCCGAATAATATGAAGAAATCCTTTTAAATTTGCCCTTATTTATATCTGCTAGTATAAAGTTACGTAAAATATTATTTATTAAATTTATAGACTTAACGCAAAAACATTATGACAAATCTCTAATAATGACCTTTCAATAAAAATTAATAATAAATATCAATCTTACTTACTATCTGGAATAGTAAGACTATTTTGCTTACTATCATTACTCTCATAACCTAATTTTAAAAGGAATATATTAGAATAAAAATTTAGGTGTGATCATTATTATTTAAAAATTTTTAAATCATAATAAAATAAATTTAAAAATTAGAAATCATTAATTAATAATACAAGAATACAATTATTAAATTACCTTCAGTCGAATTTCTTGGTTCAGGTAAATCTTTGAAAATATGAACTTTACTAAACTTTCTAACTAATGAACTAATAGAAGTAGAGCTGATATTAGATGCTACATTTGATTGTATACCATTAATATTAATGCCAGTTTCTTCATTTTCATTTTGATAATATGACGTTCGCATGTCTACAACTTTTTCCAAAATGGTACGAATATTGGGTCTTTTCAATGGATCAGCATCCCAACATTGTACCATTAAATTTTTATATTCTGCCGGAGTTCCTGGTACTACATTTGGTCTCATTCCATTCATTATTTTCATCACAAGGTCATAATCATGATCAAAATCAGCAAATGGTGATTGTCCAGATGAAATCTCCCACATTAGTATACCAATACTATAAATATCTGATGCAAAAGTATATCCTTTTCCAAAAATAACTTCGGGCGCTATATAAGGAAGATTTCCATAAATACTTCCTAATGGTTTATCAACAGGGCCACAAAATCCAAAATCGCTAATAATCCAATCATTAGATATTTGAGAATATAATATATTTCCTGAATGCAAATCTCTATGAATAGAATTTTCCATATTAAGTTTATAAATTGCTTGAATTATGTATACAAGTATTTGAATTCGTTGTTTCCATGTAAGTTGATTACGACTTTGCTGTAAATATGTTCTTAAATCTAAATCATAACAAGAAAATAATCTTTATTTAATGGATCCTGAGTTAGTCCACGACTTTCAACGAAATATCCCGATTTAGTGCTTAATGTTAATTGAGCTTCAGCCTATAAAACATTATTAAAATCATTAGTTATTTTGTTTAAACAAATTCAAATATTAATTCTTATAATTACTTTTAAAATCACATACCTCTTCAAACCAGGTTCTACTAGCACTTACAATATTGTCTAATCTTTTGAGTATTACTTCTTCATCTCCAAATCTTATTAATTTTTGTTCGTCTGAATCCCATTTGTTATAAGATCCATTAATCCAGACTGCTTTATAAATTTCAGAGCAACCACCTTGAGTTAAATATTCAATATTTTGTATATTATTATATGGAATCCATTCAACTATTCTATATGGAACAACCATTTCCGACTGACAATTCTGTATTAAATTATCAATTTTATTATTTCCTGATGTCCATTCTGAAAATTTTGATATTAAACTATTTCGAATACAATTTTCACAATATGTTGTTGCTAAACATTCTTGTTTGCAGTTTTCACAAACTCTTTTTATTCCTTGGTTATCATGTACTTTGTAATAGTCATAACCTTCAATTAATAATCTTATTGCCTCTGATTTTTCCTCGTCAGTGAGAAATTTGTCGGCGTAAATTGTTTGTTGTCTAAATTCATGCTGCTTATCTAGTTCATTGTAAATATTAAAATCAGTTATTGCGCATGCTCTATCAATTGTAGCTTTAATTAATTCTCTACGTAAGAAGGGCATAATGAAATAAAAATATTCAAAAAAAGAAAGATAAACGGGATGTAAACTCCGGTTTAAATAGAATGTATGTAGTACATATATTACACAGGTCGATCTTTGCACAAATGTGCATGATACTACTAAACTGCATTGAAAATGATTCATATGGAAATATTAGTGAAATATTGCTTGAATGGCAATGTATATTTCTAAACTTTACTTAAAATGTTAATGATTAGTAAAGGTCAAGTATTTTATCAGAGACAAGATAATTAATAGGGTTGCGCTTCGTATTACAAATTCTTCTTCGAATCATTCATATTAAGTCAAATTTAAAATTCGAATTAAAATTCAAATTATAAAAAGTTCGAAATATTCGGATGATGAAACAAATTCGAATGATACAATTGATTGATTATAAAAAAACTCAATAAGAAAAATTATTAAAAAGATTTTTTTAAAAAAAAAATGTGTTGATTTGAATTTTTGTGACAATGGAAATTTCATTAAAAAAAAAATCGTGACGATGCGAAATTTCTTGATTATAAGAATATATAGCTTTGAAAAAAACATGAGAAGTCAAAAAAAAAGGTCAGCGTTATATATTGCCACATGAAATATATTAGAATTAATTTTAATTTAATTCAGAATTAAATTCATTCGAATCAGGCTGGTTCTAATTATAGTCACGAAAAACTAGCAAGAATATAGAATTTGAAGAAATAGAGCAACGAACCGCTCTTTATACATAACGTACGGCTGACAAACTAGTGAGGTATAAAATTTGAAAAATTGAGCAACAAACCGCTCTTTCTAAGAAAAAATAAATTGAGTGACGTACTACTCTACAGTTTACGCTACGCTAAAACTTCAAAGCGATTTTTCGAGCAATAAATTATAATTAGCCCTCAGAAGATAATATTGCTGCTGTTAAAATGGGCGGTTTTCTATTGTAATCAAATTTCGGAAACATATTTATTATGTATTGTGACTTTATTTAATAGCAACGACCCAAATATCCGATCTTTATCAGCTAGTATCCAAATCATGAAGTTAAAGCACGTTTACTACGTGCTATAAAATTGAAGTTCTTTCATTATTAACTGTAAAAGAGAAAAGGCACACGTTGGAGAATTATTTTTTTTTTAAAAAAGAAAGAAAGTCATAAAAGTTAACTTTCATATACCTTATACCAAGTGAGGAAAACGCGTAGTTGTAACTCTAACCATACGACATAAAAATTAAATCTATTTCTTCATCTATAAAAGACTTAGGCAATTTTCGTGAACATCCATCCTTAACGTTAATTTATTGCTATTCGGCTTCATCTGATCATATTATTTATAAATTATCAGAGATGATGATGTTGGACATACAGTTCATAAGTTTTTTTTAATTTTTGATGATGTTTCTGTATTTAATAACGTCTAAATGATTAAATGATTTCTGAATCAATGTAGCTGAAAGTGCTACAATATTTTTGGCAATTATCAACACAATTTCATCAACTTAATGTTTTTTGTTTTTATTTCTCAGAACTAAAAAATGAAAATTGAAAGTTCCAGGTAAAATATACACGACGGGATACAAATGTGGTAATCTTTTTTTTTTAAATCTGTTAGTTGTCATTAAGAAATAATAGTAAATTAGAATAAAAAAGTTCTTAAAGATAATTTCCCTCTCCTTCGTGGAGGGAAAGCTACTACCTATTTCTTATCATCTCTTTGAGGGCTACCGGGACTTGGAAAAGTATAAATAGTCCGTTCAATTCATTTTCTTAATTCAAAAAAAAATTCAATAAAAAGTTAAACGTGATTTCTAGGGCATTTTTTTTTTTAAAAAAAAAAAATAATAATAAATCTGACCAATTGAACCATTTTTTTTAAATAGTTTAGCGTATTATCTTTTAATGTTGATCAAAAAAAATTATTTATACAGTCGCGTCGGAAAGTGACTCCCAATCCAAATTTATAATAAAATATATAAAGAATAGATAGAAAGTTCAAAGCTATATACATATTAGTATTTACTTTAATAATTAATTCTAAATTTTATATGATTTTAATACCAGCTAGTTGTATTTTTTTTAAAAAATGGTTTTTAACTTATGGAAAACCTTAAATGCATAAACTATTTAATTGTAATGTATAAAGATAGATAGATTCAAAAAAATTCATGCATATTTGCATTTTTCGGTTGACGTCACCATGCCAGGGAATTTTAAAGTTTTATATGTAAAAGTTATCACGTGACTTTGAGATAATATAAACAATTTGAAATGTAAGCAGAGGTTTTATCAATAATCAATTGAAATAATTATGATTTAATTAATTAGTGTTGCCTCAACATCGGCGATCGCAATTCAATTTTATTATCTCAAATACTAAATGGGGGAAATCATAATTGCAAACCTCCCAAATGCTATTTAATTAAAACTACGTAAATTAATAATCGGAAAAAATTAATAAATGAAAATATTAAAAACAATGCAATTAACGAAGTTAAAGCATAAAAATTATGAAGTTACTTAAAAATACGAAATTGATAATATCGTTAAAAAAAACTAGCCAAAAAAAAAAAAAAATCATATTGCTTGCATGTTTAACTTATTTGAGATAGTCATTTTGTAAAGGACGTAGTACCATTGAAACAATTTCAATTTATCGGAATTTATATTTGAGTTATGGATTCAAAATCCGAAGTGATAAGGAAATATTAAACCAAAGAATATAATTTGACATTAATCAAATTTGCGATGAGGCTGGATTCGAAACTGACCAGGAAATTTTAATGAAACTACGGGGTAAAGTTTTGATGGTAGATTTTTCCATTCTGATACAATTGGAAATCTTGTTCCATTAACTGTAAACGCACAGGTTCTTTTATTCATATCTAAATGAACAGTAACTTTGCTATTATCCTCTTCAAATGAAGGACAATATTCTGTCAAGTTTCCGGAATTGTCTGCATCACCCGATGAACCTAACACCCATGCGGTACTTTGATACCCTGCAAATTTTTCATAATCAAAATTGTTTGATGCGCAAACTCCAACCCAGGCCAATATACAATGTTTCTCAATGATAACATCCCATTCGTAAACACCTTTATTTTCTAATGCTACTTTAGCCCTAACGTTTTGATGCAAATGTAAATTTTGTGCTTGTACAACTTTTCCATTATTAAGAAGTGTTGATCCACAAGCTATCTCATCCCAAACACAATCAGATTCGTCAAATGAAATTGCTGGTAGAAATCCTCGACCTTCATTTAAAACTGTGTTATTTGATAATGTATTATGTCGATATACATTTAAAATTGTTTCAGATGGAATAATGTTTAATGGTTCGATGATATTAACCAATATTTGACCTCTAATTCTTTTGAAATCGATAAATTTTATCAAAGGTTTTAATTTTTTAGCAATTTTCTGATGATCTGGGATAATCTCACTATCAATTGGCTTTGAATTGTCTACATTTTCTAAAGTTGGCAAACGTGTCAAAAGTATTATGGTCGCATTATCAGAAATCTGTCTTGCTACCAAAATAGTACTATATCGAAAAACTTCATATTCCAGGGTTGCAAAGGTCTTTTCTCTTTCAAAAGTACGAGATAAAAGGATCTGAAGTGCTTCCGTAGTTAAACGACCAAATTCAATATTATATAGTGGAATAATTGATACCGCTTCAATTAATAGGTTAAAAAGAACATTATCTTCTGTTAATGACATTGTATCAACAATTTTAGATAACAATTCTGGTGAATAATTATCATTGTAATTTTCTTCCAAAGTAATTTTAACAGTTTTCAGAATAAAATCTTGAAGGTCCGATAATTGAAAATAATCCGCAGCGTTAAAAGCTTCAACGATATTATCTTTGGTTAAAGATTCCTCCTTAACAACTCCTGTGTAAATATATTCCAAAATAATTTCCATTCCAGAAGAATTAAATGTTGGAAAAGAGATTTGTTTCTCATAACTTTCTTTCATTCCATTGTAGAGTAATGCATCAAATACTTCGGATCTTGCAGCTAAGATTGCTCTACATCCGTGTAAAGTAATTTCATCCTTGCATAAAATTTTAATATCGCTATACATTGGGTTATTAATTAACAACCTTAAGTCATGTTCTAATGAATGTCCTTTTGTCAGTTTAGCAATTTCATTCATTTTTCTTCAGAACGAATTAAAAAAAAATATGTTGTTGACAATTATGTGAAAAGATCATTCATTGTCTATAAAAGGAAAATTTTTCGAGAAAACACGTGAAGTCCATTACCGCATACTTACCGACGATATTGTCAGAACACATCATGATTTTTATCCGCAGTAACCACCAGCGGAACCTTCACAAAATCTCAAAAAATGGCCGGCAATAAAGTTTCCGGGCGAAGTCGGTGATAATAAATTTGTCACGTGAATTCTTGACAGTAACGCAGGGGAAAATCTGTTTGTTTTTCCTTCTAAAAAAAAAAAAAAATTTCCGACCTAGATAATACATAACATTAGTAACATCGGTTGAATAGAAAGTCTTGTTTTATGATGAAATATTCGCGAAGCGCGTTGTCCGAAGCATTATATTTTTTGCTTATCATTAAAATAAGAACGTAAACTGTATAAATTTAGGTTTTTTTTATCTAGATCATCTCCAACGGATTGAATCTTTCAATGATATTTCATAAATATAAATTTTTCAATGGTAACAAAATATGTTTCGCAAAATTCGATTTTTAAAAAATTTTCCTGAGGCGAAACATTTTGGAAGCGAATCTCACGCTCCGGAAGCGATGATTCCTTAATTTTTAAACGAAATCTTTGTACGGTTTTCTATATCTTGGGATAAAATATAAAAGCCTTGAAGTGAAAAAAAAAATAAGAAATAAAAAATTAACATTAAAAATAAATTTTTGCTAAAATTAAAATGAGCATTTTCCTGGCATAAGGAAATGATTCAAGGCAAAGCAATATATACATTTTTTCCTTAAAATTTATTTTTTTTATTTTTCCCTTAAACAAAAAACCATATAATAAAATATGGGTGGGTCTCGTATGTGATTGAAACCATTGAAATTAAAAGGAAGGCAATTTCAAAGACGGAAATTTTTATAATAGCGAAAAATCAAAAATTTATAACGAACGCTCTAAAAGTTATCAGGATAATCTAATAATGAAATTAATACAAAGCAATATATATTGTACGAGTATTTATTTTCATCGTGACAGAGATAGCAAAACAAATTTATGAATTTTCGCAAACAAAAAATCGAATAAATTTATATTATAATATAAAAAATATTCATCACTATTAATTTTTAAAATGTTATTTATTCAATAATAAAGCCGATAATTTATCATTATGATAAATTTTGCGATTACAAATCGTATGCAAAGTATTTTTCTTTTAAATTAGATGCTGTACATACATACAGTTAAAGGTTTGACGATGCTTGGATAATTAGAAAATATAATCCAAATTTCGAATTTCTTTAAACCCCATTAACATGAAAAAATCTCGTTGTTATACGCTATATTAGTAGCAAATAAATTTAAATCACAATTATAAAATGACAAAATGTAGATCCATCAATAAATAGATAATAATTTTTATGTACAAAAAATTAAATTTATCTTTATCTATAATAACATTAATTATTGGTTTGTCCTTTAATTGCGTCTGTTTTTCGACGATGAAACTAAATAATGCTTGTTATACAAACAAATGTTAAAAGATATATCAAAAACAATCGTTTGAAGATATGTATCACATGTATCACATTATCGCCGATCTTATTAAATGATGAAAATCCCGATTAGGTTTCTATGACGGGTTTAACTTGAGCTGAAATTAACATTAATTCAATAATTTATAGGCAAATCCTTTTACTGCCGTGTAACTGTTTTACTTCTAGTAATAGTTAGTCAGTATCCGAGAAACAAACAGCCCATAGTGTTAAATTAAAAAAAAGAAATTGATTAAAAATAGTAATATAGAATGTGGTAGAAATATTTTATTTTATCTTACTGGCCAATATAAAAAGAAAAATAGGTATTTTATTTCTAAAAAAAGAAAAAAAAAAAAATACCCACCTCCTCATAACAATTATAACAAATTATAATGAATTTGCTTGTAAATTGAATAAATATCAATTTAATTAATTTAATTAGAGGAAAGTGGGATTATAAGGGCTTGGATGTTATTATTGGCTTAGGATTTCTTGGCATGGTTTAAATCATGATTTTCACAAAAAAAGAAAAAAAAAATTTCTTTTTTTTTTTTTTCGAAAATGTATTAAAAGTTACTTATGCAAATTGTACATGTATGAAAAACAAAAACCACTTCCTGAGGATCACATGACCGTATTATTGGTAATTTCTAAAGATGTACTGGTAATAATAGTTTTACGCCAAATCAAAAACTTTGTCAGAATAATCGAATGAATTTCGATGAGAAATATATTTGTTACACAACCTTCAATAAAACGGGAAAAAACAAATTGGTTGCTTTTTTCTTTTCGATAAACAAGAAAACAATAAAAGCGAGTCCCTTTTTCCCTTTTACAAATATTTTGTCCATCACAACATTGTTTATTTATTCAAGTAGTTTTACATCTCACCACATCTTACATCACATTCAATAGATTTTCCTCATCCCTAAATATAATAATTGGACGACCTACTTTTTTTTTTTTTTCTATTGTTAGAATATTTCTAGCCGTAATTTAATTCGTAAATTCCCGAAAAAAAAAAAAAATTAAAAATCAAGTTATCATTGGAGACTAATTTTACATTTCTTAATGTTGAAAGAACGCCCGTTCAACATTTTTTAATTCTTATTTATGTTTCTTATGTATCAGGATATGTGCGAGAGCCGAATAAAAATAAACGAATAAGTTAAACCTGATTTAGACGTCTATATTTGGCAACGGCGAAAAAAAAAACTCATGCGAAAACAAATTTATGAAGATCAATAGTATTTTATATTCCTGCGCTAACCTGATTTGTCTTATGGCTTAAAAAAAAATAGTTTATATAAATTTGCGTGTAAAATTCGTCCTTAATTATTTCTGTAGATAAAAAAAAAAAAAAAAAAAAATTTAATATATTTTTACAAGATTTATTGATAATGATTTTCTCAAACAAACATATAAATTTATTCGTTCTCGCCTTGTTTTTTGTAACCTTAGTTGGATCCTTTGAGAGTGTAAGCTCTTCAAATATTTTCAAAAGGGACGATGCTGCCAATAATACCGACACTAATGGTAAGTATCATAAAATGTGCTTGCGTTGCCAAATCACAAAGCTGATCGAATTCCGTTTCTTTCTTCTCTTAAATGATAGGCTCCGACAACTCCGACATAAAAAAATTGTGCGAAGGTTTTAAATTCGACAACGCATTTACTCAAGTCAAAAATGGAGAGACTATAACAGTGACATGGTCAAAAGGAGCATCCAAAGTAAATGCCGTAATAAATTGTGAAATGTTTGGTGAACCGGTAGGGGATAATGTTGCATTCTGGAAAGAGATATGGACTGGTGACATTAAGTATACCGAAAGCTTAACCGCCGTATCGGCACAGGTTAAGTTTGAAGCTCCACCTGGTGCAAAATTACCTCAAAGTATTTTATTACGTACTTGGGGTTTAACCAGCGAAGGTCCACATTGTACTTGTTACACGTAAATATCTTGCTTCTTTCTCTGTCCTTTAAAAAAATTATTAATTTTTACTAACATTTCCCTTTTTTTA